AAAAAAAAAAAAAAAAAAAATAGCATCTACTTCCACTATAACAAAAAAGAGAGTCTGTTAGTACAGCCTTACTCAGAAGTGAACACAGAGCCAAGAAGTCCCACTGTAAATTTGTAAATCAAATTGAAATGGAGGATTAACTCTGGGGATATGTATCTATCTCTGTGCACACAGATACTAACAGACATTGAAGACTTTTATTTCCTAGATTTGGAGATAGGAATACCATACTTATTCTATTCTATTTATTTATATCTGTCATACAAAACCTATTTATACCTGCTGTTATCAAATATTCACATAGGAGTTTAGAGTTTATATATTACATTAATCTGATCCTCCAATAATCCTTTTGAAGTAGGTACAGCAGGTATCACACCTTCCCTGGATTACACATGAGGGGACTGACACTCAAAGAGGAAACAATTTGCCAAGGCCATGAATGGAAAAAATTAGAATTCAGAATCTTGTGTTGCCTACCGTATCTTATTACGAAAATCTACATTTAAACTCCAAATCAAATATCCACATAACTTAAAGCAGTACGTTTTATATGCCACAAAGGTGAATATATAAAAGAACAAGTTTATCTAAACAAGTGTGTGCCAAAAAAGGTTAACACGGCAGGCCTCAGACTGTTGTCCTTAGAAAGGCCTACCTGCAAGGCTGGCCTTTGGCTGCAGTATGGGGGCTTAAATTTCGGGAGAATTCCTTCATTCCCTAATAAGAACACCTCGCTGTGCAAACAAAATGGTTTACGGGGAACGTGTTTCCCCTCTGAACGTCTAGAATTTTGGTAGATGTTGGGATGTGGGGTCTACATGACCAGTCCCAATTAAAATCCTGGGAGTCTCTACTGAGCTTCCCTGGTGGACACGGCACTTCACACTTGTCCTCACAACCTGCTGCTGAAGGAATTAAGTGAAGCCCGTATGACTTCACTGGGAGAAAGCTCCTGGAAGCCTGTGCTTGGTTTCTTCCAGGCTTCACTCCAGGCCCCTTGTCTTGCTCATTTTGCCTCATATCCTTTTGCTGTACTCAGTCACATCCGTGAGCACAAAACTATGCCAGATCCTGTGACTCCTCTTAGAGGATCATCAAATATGGCCGTCTTCAGGACCCGACACAAAATGCCAGACCCAAACGATCTTAAATAAGATGAAGGATACGTACGTGCATGTTAAGAGGGTCTACGAGATGAGCTGCAATACTCATTTCATATTCTGAAAGCTTCACATTTTTCACACCAATCTGTTTCATTAATTTTTCTGCCTAGAACAAAAAAACAAGCAACTTCCTTTAGTCTGGTATTTGGGTCTTGGCACTTCAAAAGAGATTATCTGTGAAGTCTAAAGAGCCATGAACAGACATGCAAGAATTTTCCAGGGAAATTTTAGGCCCCTTGACCTCCTCTTCCCCAATGTAAGCTTGTAGGTAAAGACAAAAGGTGAGTGTCTAACTGCACAGAAACCAGGGCAATTTAAACCAGCTCCTAGGAAATGAGAAAATTAGGGCACATGATTGAGGAGATACACATAGGGCCTTGCACTGCTCCAATGAGATTCTAGGGTCCAACTTGATGTCCTTTCAAGTAAGACCATCATGACAGGTGCAGATGAAACCTCCAGATGAGAGCAGAGCAGTTGAACATTTAAAAAATGGACAACTGGAGTTTCTTTTCTTAAATCGAGTTTCTGAAAACAGATGCTTAACTTCCTTCAAATTACCCAGTTATTGACACCAGGTGCCCACGGCAATCAAACTCCAAACTGTTCGAAGATGCTGTCCTTTTTGGTTAAAGCCAATTCCTGGGACTAGGCAACCAGAGATAATAAATCCTAAATTCTAAATGATGGGGCGCCTGGGTGGCTCAGTGGGTTAAGTGTCCGACTTGTGGTATCAGCTCAGGTAGTGATGCTGTGGTTGTGGGATTGAGCCCTAAGTTAGGCTCTGTGCTCAGCTCGGAGCCTGCTTGGGATTCTCTTTCTCTCTTTCTCTCTCTCTCTCTCTCTCTCTCTCTCTCAGCTCCTCCCCTGTGAGCACTCGCATTCTCTCTCTCTCAAAAATAAACACTTAAAAAAATAAATAAATTGTAAGTATATTTGCATATATATTTTTAGAGCTGGACAACACTAACCTGAAACCTACGAGCTCTAGCAATACAACAAAGATTTCAATTAAAATTAAAAACAATAATAATCACAAACATTTACTGAATGGGCCAAACCATATGCCAAAATACCGTAAATGGATTAGCTCACTGAATCCCCCGAGCGAGCCTATGGGGTAGGTACAATTTCTCCCCACCACAGAAAAGGAAATTAAAGTTTAGCTCAGATGAAATAATCTGCCTCAGGTTCAAGTCAGCAAATGGAAGAGACGACATACACATGCAGGCAGCCCCACTCCAGAGCCCACCCTCTAACCACATCCCAATGACCCTACGTTCCCCAATTATAACAGGGCGGTTTGTGACCACCGAGGAGTCTTAAAAAGATTACAGAAAACACATTCAAATTTCAATTAAATGAACATATTTAAAAGTGCTCTGATAAATACCTGCTTTTGTTATATTTTCCTAAAATGCTTTAAAAATATATTGTATACTTGGTTTATTTTTAAGTAGGCTGCAGTCCAACTTGGGTCCTGAATTCACCACCCTGAGATCAAGAGTCACATGCTCCACCAAGTGAACCAGACAGACGCCCCTAAAATACTTTTGATTTTGTAAGATCTTGCTTTGGTCAGGGGGTATGGCTGCTCTAGAAGGAAATTCATCTCACACAGCACTATAGTTACAGACTGCTCAGAGCATAGGATAAATGTGGATAAAGTAGGATAAATCATATCCTAGTAATGTAGCATTTTTAAAATAAATAACCACATAGTTTTTCCTATTTAGCCCCCCCTCCCCCTCGGGTAAAATTACCGAATCAATGGAGAAAACAGCCTTTTCCAGGTTTTTTAATCTCTTTCTTGTAAATATCTTCTCTTTCGCTGATTTTCAATCTTTTGTGTCAGGTATGAAAGGTATCCTATTTTAGCCTCTGTAATAACATCAATTATTCTTTTCCATTATGCTTCTATAAATGTGCAGCCATCCCACATGTGTTCTTTTTAGGCTATGCTGTAAAACAAAAGTTTCCACCAGGGGTGACTCTGCGCCCCAGGGGACATCTGGCAAGGTCTGGGAATACTTCTGGCTGTCACGACCTTGCGGGGAGGGTGCTCTTGGCATGTAGTCAGCAGAGACAGGAATGCTGCTTAACATTCTGAGAGACACAGTACAGCCTGCCCCTCCCCAATTATCTGGCCCCGAATGTCAACAGTGCCGAGTTGAGGAATCCTGCTCTTTCCCCATTAGCTAGCTGCTCTTAAAACTTTACTCTAGGTCACAAATGCTTCTTGCTTTAAACAAACTTTATCTACGTTTGGGATTTCCTAAGTAAAAACGGTCAACTGTGTTGTTTATGTTATAGAAATAGAAAATGCCGTGGTCAAATTTACCTAAAATCTTTCCCCCCATATAAGCAGTCCCATTTAACGATGTCTTCAGGTTGCATTAACAACACTGACAGAAAACAAAATTAATGTTTATTGGGCAAAACTCATTTTCATTTCCTTACCATCAGCCCGTACAACCATCCTGAGAAGTAGCTATTACTATGCTCGTTTTTCAGATGAGGAACTCAAGAGTCAGAGAAATTAGAAGAATTGCCAAGATTATGAGCTAGGAGTTGGCATTACCAGAGTTCAAATCCTGATCTAATTCCAAAGCTGTTCTACTGAAACACTAATATTCCTCATCTGCGAGACCAGAACGTGGTTAACAAATAAATAAAATAAAGTACCCCTAAACACATCAAACTGTCTTCCAGAAGAAGTTATCCAACTGTTTCTAGCTTTGACAACTTTAAGTGAGCCCGTTTCTAAAATGTTTTACCAAGAAAAACAAAATGATTGTACTCTAAAAATGGCTTATGTTCATGAACTGCTTTATCACTTACAGCTCAGTGACAATCGTATTTTCTAGTTACCAACTTTTGCTTGGTTTTTAAGTGAATCTCTCCAAGTAGTTGTCACTCTGTGGAGGAAAAATGGTAGGTGAGGGGTTGAAGGGAGTCAGAGGTAGGAGGGAAACTTACTTTTCACTGTATAGTCATCTTTTTAACTGTTTCATAGTATTTTTATCCTTTCATGCTATTTCATTTTTTTCCTCCATGTAAACTATTAAGAAGATTAAGATTAACAAGATTAGGGGCGCCTGGGTGGCGCAGTCGGTTAAGCGTCCGACTTCAGCCAGGTCACGATCTCGCGGTCCGTGAGTTCGAGCCCCGCGTCAGGCTCTGGGCTGATGGCTCGGAGCCTGGAGCCTGTTTCCGATTCTGTGTCTCCCTCTCTCTCTGCCCCTCGCCCGTTCATGCTCTGTCTCTCTCTGTCCCAAAAATAAATAAACGTTGAAAAAAAAAATTAAAAAAAAAAAAAAAGATTAACAAGATTAAGAAGTGGAGTAGGAAATAGTAAACTACTATTTTTGCCTAGAATGGGAAAGGAGGAAATGGAGAAAAGGAGCAGCAGAAAAGAACCTTTTCATTCAGTTTCTGAACGATTTGTAAAATTGGTTGTTCTTTTGGGAGATTAATTTTAGAAAATTAGAGACGGGCGCCTGGGTGGCTCAGTCGGTTGAGCATCCGACTTCGGCTCAGGTCATGATCTCACAGCTCGTGAGTTTGAGCCCCGCATCGGGCTCTGTGCTCCAGCAGAGCCTGGAGCCTGCTTCCGATTCTGTGTCTCCCTCTCTCTCTGCCCCTCCCCTGCTCTCTCTCTGTCTCAAAAATAAATAAAACATTAAAAAAATTAAAAAAAAAAAAAGAAAATTAGAGATAGCATTAACAAGGGTGAAAAACCAGAGGTAGGTTAACTGATTAAACTTAGGTCTGTTTATTAAAGTCACAGCTAAAGTACTCTAAGTGTGGATAGAGGAAGTCACTGACAGAAAGCTCACAACACTACATTTCCACGGGAAATGGCAAAGAGTCTGAATAATTATATTTTAGATGTAATCTCTTATACACTTGTATTAAAATTCTTGAAAGCACCCTTTTCTAGACTAACATGGAAACAAGTCGTCTCCCCTCTCACGGTCAGTCTCTGGACGTCATAAGGAGAGTGGGCTTCAGGG